GCCAATAACATCGACGAGTTAACCACCCCAGTCACCGGCTTCATAAGGAAATGCATCGGTAACGTTGACCCCGCAGTGAAGGTTCGCTGCTTCCCCAATAAAAAGCCTGGGATGAATAGGAGCAAGGCCGGACGGTATCCCAGGGCGTGTTGTAGGAGCAAGGCCGGACGGTATCCCAGGGCGTGTTGTAGGAGCAAGGCCGGACGGTATCCCAGGGCGTGTTGTAAGAGCAGGCGCAGGCATATTCACTGGCAAGGCCGGACGGTATCCCAGGGCGTGTTGTAGGAGCAGGCGCAGGCATATTCACTGGCAAGGCCGGACGGTATCCCAGGGCGTGTTGTAGGAGCAAGGCCGGACGGTATCCCAGGGCGTGTTGTAGGAGCAAGGCCGGACGGTATCCCAGGGCGTGTTGTAGGAGCAAGGCCGGACGGTATCCCAGGGCGTGTTGTAAGAGCAGGCGCAGGCATATTCACTGGCAAGGCCGGACGGTATCCCAGGGCGTGTTGTAAGAGCAGGCATATTCACTGGCAAGGCCGGACGGTATCCCAGGGCGCGTTGTAGGAGCATACGCAGATCAGCTGACAGGCATATTCACTGTAATTTCCAACCTCTCCTTGTCCCAGTCTGTAATGCCCACGTCTTAAGATGACCACCATCATTCCTGTTCCTAATCTGTAATCCCCACGTCTTAAAATGACCACCATCATTCCTGTTCCCAAGAACTCTAAGGCTTCATGCCACAATGACCACCGCCCTGCAGCACTCACTTCTGTAATCATGAAGTGCTTTGAAAGGCTGGTAATTGCTCACATCAACTCCATCATCCCAGACACAGTAGACCCACTCCAATTTGCATACCGCCACAACAGATCCATAGACGACGCAATCTCAATTGCACTCCACACTGCCCTCACCCACCTAGATAAGAGGAATACCTATGTGAGAACGCTGTTCATTAACTACATCTCAGCGTTCAACACCATTGTCCCCTCCAAGCTCGTCACCAAGCTTAGGACCCTGGGACTGAACACCTCCCTCTGCAATCCTGGACTTCCTGACTGGCCGACCCCAGGTAGTAAGGGTAGGCAACATCACCTCCGCCACGCTGACCCAACCGGGGTGTGTGCTTAGTCCCCTCCTGTGCTCCCTGTTCACCCACGACTGAGAGGCCAAACAAGACTCCAACACCATCATCAAGTTTTCTGACGACACGACGGTGGTTGGCCTGATCACCGGCGACGATGAGACAGCCTATAGGGAGGAGGTCAGTGACCTGGCAGTGTGGGGCCGGGACAACAACCTCCCCCTCAAAGCCAGTAAGACCAAGGAGCTGATCATGGACTACAGGAAATGGGGGGAGCACGCCCACATCCACATCGAAGGGGCTGCAGTGGAGCGAGTCAAGCGCTTCAAATTCCTTGGAGGTCCAAATCACTAAGGACTTAAAATGGTCCACGCGCGCACAGTCATGGAGAAGGCACGACAGTGTCTCTTCCCTTCCCATGTTTGGCATGGGCCATCAAATCCTTAAAAAGTTCTACAGTTGCACCATTGAGAGCATCTTGATGGGCTCCATCACTGCTTGGTATGGCAATAGCACCGCCCTGGATCGCATGGCCCTACAGAGGGTGGTGCGGACAGCCCAGTACATCACTGGGGCCGAGCTCCCTGCCATCCAGGACCTCTATACCAGGACAGCCCAGTACATCACTGGGGCCGAGCTCCCTGCCATCCAGGACCTCTATATCAGAGCTCCCTGCCATCCAGGACCTCTATATCAGAGCTCCCTGCCATCCAGGACCTCTATATCAGAGCTCCCTGCCATCCAGGACCTCTATATCAGAGCTCCCTGCCATCCAGGACCTCTATACCAGAGCTCCCTGCCATCCAGGACCTCTATATCAGAGCTCCCTGCCATCCAGGACCTCTATATCAGAGCTCCCTGCCATCCAGGACCTCTATATCAGAGCTCCCTGCCATCCAGGACCTCTATATCAGAGCTCCCTGCCATCCAGGACCTCTATACCAGAGCTCCCTGCCATCCAGGACCTCTATATCAGAGCTCCCTGCCATCCAGGACCTCTATACCAGAGCTCCCTGCCATCCAGGACCTCTATATCAGAGCTCCCTGCCATCCAGGACCTCTATATCAGAGCTCCCTGCCATCCAGGACCTCTATACCAGAGCTCCCTGCCATCCAGGACCTCTATATCAGAGCTCCCTGCCATCCAGGACCTCTATATCAGAGCTCCCTGCCATCCAGGACCTCTATATCAGAGCTCCCTGCCATCCAGGACCTCTATATCAGAGCTCCCTGCCATCCAGGACCTCTATATCAGAGCTCCCTGCCATCCAGGACCTCTATACCAGAGCTCCCTGCCATCCAGGACCTCTATATCAGAGCTCCCTGCCATCCAGGACCTCTATACCAGAGCTCCCTGCCATCCAGGACCTCTATATCAGAGCTCCCTGCCATCCAGGACCTCTATACCAGGACAGCCCAGTACATCACTGGGGCCGAGCTCCCTGCCATCCAGGACCTCTATATCAGAGCTCCCTGCCATCCAGGACCTCTATATCAGAGCTCCCTGCCGTCCAGGACCTCTATATCAGAGCTCCCTGCCATCCAGGACCTCTATATCAGAGCTCCCTGCCATCCAGGACCTCTATACCAGAGCTCCCTGCCATCCAGGACCTCTATATCAGAGCTCCCTGCCATCCAGGACCTCTATACCAGAGCTCCCTGCCATCCAGGACCTCTATACCAGAGCTCCCTGCCATCCAGGACCTCTATATCAGAGCTCCCTGCCATCCAGGACAGCCCAGTACATCACTGGGGCCGAGCTCCCTGCCATCCAGGACCTCTGTACCAGGCGGTGTGAAAGGAAGGCCCGGAAAATCGTTAAAGACTCCAGACACCCAAGCCATAGACTGTTCTCTCTGCTTCCGCTCGGCAAGCGGTACCGGCGCATCAAGTCTGACACCAACAGCCTCCTGAACAGCTTTTGTCCCCAAGCCGTAAGACTGCTAAATACCTAACAGAATGACTACAGGGTCTGAGTTGACCCTTGTATTACATATTTCCACTGTCTCTATGCACACTCACAGGACCCTACACGCTCACAGGACCCTACACGCTCACAGGACCCTACACGCTCACACACACACTGACACTCACATAACATACATTTATACTGACTCTACACACCCACTCACATACAAGCTGCTGCTACTCTGTTTATCATATATCCTGATGCCTAGTCACCTTACCCCTATACATATCTACCTCCATCACTCCAGTATCCCTGCACATTGTTAATATGGTATTGGAACTGACCCTGTATAGTCACCTTACCCCTATACATATCTACCTCCATCACTCCAGTATCCCTGCACATTGTTAATATGGTATTGGAACTGACCCTGTATATAGTCACCTGACCCCTATACATATCTACCTCCATCACTCCAGTATCCCTGCACATTGTTAATATGGTACTGGAACTGACCCTGTATATAGTCACCTGACCCCTATACATATCTACCTCCATCACTCCAGTATCCCTGCACATTGTTAATATGGTACTGGAACTGACCCTGTATATAGTCACCTGACCCCTATACATATCTACCTCCATCACTCCAGTATCCCTGCACATTGTTAATATGGTACTGGAACTGACCCTGTATATAGTCACCTGACCCCTATACATATCTACCTCCATCACTCCAGTATCCCTGCACATTGTTAATATGGTATTGGAACTGACCCTGTATATAGTCACCTGACCCCTATACATATCTACCTCCATCACTCCAGTATCCCTGCCCATTGTAAATATGGTACTGACCCTGTATATAGTCACCTGACCCCTATACATATCTACCTCCATCACTCCAGTATCCCTGCCCATTGTAAATATGGTACTGACCCTGTATATAGTCACCTGACCCCTATACATATCTACCTCCATCACTCCAGTATCCCTGCACATTGTTAATATGGTACTGGAACTGACCCTGTATATAGTCACCTTACCCCTATACATATCTACCTCCATCACTCCAGTATCCCTGCACATTGTTAATATGGTATTGGAACTGACCCTGTATATAGTCACCTTACCCCTATACATATCTACCTCCATCACTCCAGTATCCCTCCACATTGTTAATATGGTACTGGAACTGACCCTGGCTTCTTACTTTCTTGTGTGTTTTTGTTATACCTTGTGTTATTTTTAGTACTACATTGACATTGATTACTGCATTGTTGGGTTTAGAGTTTGCAAGAAAGGCATTTCACTGTACTTGTGCACGTGACATTAAAACTTGAAACTAATCTCCACTAAGGAATAGGAACATCAAACACCACCCAGTCTGCCTCCTGCTGGACGAAGGGAGTATTGCAAACAAACTATTAGCAACTGTCTCGAGATACCATCAAGTTTTCAAACCATATCACACTACAATTGAGTCTATAGACAACAAATAAGAGTCATTTGACCCATTATATAAAATATCTACTATAGAGACCAAAAAGGGCAGGACGGTAGCCTTAGTTTTAGCGTGTAAAAGTAATTTTGCATTGTCAGGACAGAAAGTATTCTGGCGTCCCAAATGGCTCCCCTTGCCCCTTTTGACCAGGCCCCATATATAGGGAACAGGGTCAAATGGCTCCCCTTGCCCCTTTTGACCAGGCCCCATATATAGGGAACAGGGTCAAATGGCACCCCTTGCCCCTTTTGACCAGGCCCCATATATAGGGAACAGGGTCAAATGGCACCCCTTGCCCCTTTTGACCAGGCCCCATATATAGGGAACAGGGTCAAATGGCACCCCTTGCCCCTTTTGACCAGGCCCCATATATAGGGAACAGGGTCAAATGGCACCCCTTGCCCCTTTTGACCAGGCCCCATATATAGGGAACAGGGTTCTATTTGTGACGCGGCAGGTATTACACAAACGTAAACAAAAAGGAGTGAGTTAGTGTTAGTACCCATAGCGATAGGGATGTCAGTCCAGTTGAGGGCACACTTCTGAGTGCAGACGCCTTCCTCGTTGAGCACCACTGTGAGGTCATCCTGACCCACCGCCACCTTCCCATCAGCCAGGGGAACCACCAGCGGCTCCAGCTGCTTCCCCGTGGGGAAGAGCTCCTTGATGGAACCCCGACCATCCATCTGGAGGGCACCGAAAGACAGAGAGAGAGAGAGAGATGACGCGCCAGGGGAGAGATCATTTAGGCACCAAATGGAGAAAAAAAAAAAATGACAAAAACACTCATTTTGGTTTTCCTTTTTTAAACGTTTTGATACAGTATGGCCCTACTGAATACAACCCAGGAGAGGCCGAAGGGTAACAAGGACTCTGCAACATTGTGACTCATAGACCTTCATAGATCTTCGTCGAACTTCATTCTGTCATGTCTGCAGCAAAACATTAAAATACACACAGTGGACTGTTTTTCTGGTAATGTGCCGAACTGACCCGGATGAGGTAGTAGTCCCTCTTGAAGCCAACACAGATGGAGTTCTGACACCAGGCCATGGACTTAGGGATGTCTGGAGCAGCAAAGTCTCCCTGACACACAAACAACAACAAAAACCCTTATTGTGTTAATACCTTTTGGTGAACAATATCCCTCTAAACGAGGTGTATATCCCCCCCCCTCCCCCTCCCCATGTCACCTCCCTCCCTGTCTTACCTGTAGCTCATATGACTCCCTGTCTTACATGTAGCTCATAGGACTCCCTGTCTTACCTGTAGCTCATAGGACTCCCTGTCTTACCTGTAGCTCATATGACTCCCTGTCTTACCTGTAGCTCATAGAACTCCCTGTCTTACCTGTAGCTCATAGAACTCCCTGTCTTACCTGTAGCTCATAGGACTCCCTGTCTTACCTGTAGCTCATAGAACTCCCTGTCTTACCTGTAGCTCATAGGACTCCCTGTCTTACCTGTAGCTCATAGGACTCCCTGTCTTACCTGTAGCTCATAGAACTCCCTGTCTTACCTGTAGCTCATAGAACTCCCTGTCTTACCTGTAGCTCATAGGACTCCCTGTCTTACCTGTAGCTCATAGAACTCCCTGTCTTACCTGTAGCTCATAGAACTCCCTGTCTTACCTGTAGCTCATAGAACTCCCTGTCTTACCTGTAGCTCATAGAACTCCCTGTCTTACCTGTAGTTCATAGAACTCCCTGTCTTACCTGTAGCTCATAGAACTCCCTGTCTTACCTGTAGCTCATAGAACTCCCTGTCTTACCTGTAGCTCATAGAACTCCCTGTCTTACCTGTAGCTCATAGAACTCCCTGTCTTACCTGTAGCTCATAGGACTCCCTGTCTTACCTGTAGCTCATAGGACTCCCTGTCTTACCTGTAGCTCATAGAACTCCCTGTCTTACCTGTAGCTCATAGAACTCCCTGTCTTACCTGTAGCTCATAGGATTCCCTGTCTTACCTGTAGCTCATATGACTCCCTGTCTTACCTGTAGCTCATAAAACTCCCTGTCTTACCTGTAGCTCATACGACTCCCTGTCTTACCTGTAGCTCATAGAACTCCCTGTCTTACCTGTAGCTCATAGGACTCCCTGTCTTACCTGTAGCTCATAGAACTCCCTGTCTTACCTGTAGCTCATAGGACTCCCTGTCTTACCTGTAGCTCATAGAACTCCCTGTCTTACCTGTAGCTCATAGAACTCCCTGTCTTACCTGTAGCTCATAGAACTCCCTGTCTTACCTGTAGTTCATAGAACTCCCTGTCTTACCTGTAGCTCATAGAACTCCCTGTCTTACCTGTAGCTCATAGAACTCCCTGTCTTACCTGTAGCTCATAGAACTCCCTGTCTTACCTGTAGCTCATAGAACTCCCTGTCTTACCTGTAGCTCATAGAACTCCCTGTCTTACCTGTAGCTCATAGAACTCCCTGTCATACCTGTAGTTCATAGAACTCCCTGTCTTACCTGTAGCTCATAGAACTCCCTGTCTTACCTGTAGCTCATAGGACTCCCTGTCTTACCTGTAGCTCATAGAACTCCCTGTCTTACCTGTAGCTCATAGAACTCCCTGTCTTACCTGTAGCTCATAGAACTCCCTGTCTTACCTGTAGCTCATAGGACTCCCTGTCTTACCTGTAGCTCAGAACTCCCTGTCTTACCTGTAGTTCATAGAACTCCCTGTCTTACCTGTAGCTCATAGAACTCCCTGTCTTACCTGTAGCTCATAGAACTCCCTGTCTTACCTGTAGCTCATAGAACTCCCTGTCTTACCTGTAGCTCATAGGACTCCCTGTCTTACCTGTAGCTCATAGGACTCCCTGTCTTACCTGTAGCTCATAGAACTCCCTGTCTTACCTGTAGCTCATAGAACTCCCTGTCTTACCTGTAGCTCATAGGATTCCCTGTCTTACCTGTAGCTCATATGACTCCCTGTCTTACCTGTAGCTCATAGAACTCCCTGTCTTACCTGTAGCTCATACGACTCCCTGTCTTACCTGTAGCTCATAGAACTCCCTGTCTTACCTGTAGCTCATAGGACTCCCTGTCTTACTGTCTCATAGAATCCCTGTCTACTGTAGCTCATAGACTCCCTGTCTTACCTGTAGCTCATAGGACTCCTGTCTTACCTGTAGCTCATAGAACTACCCTGTCTTACCTGTAGCTCATAGAACTCCCTGTCTTACCTGTAGCTCATAGAAACTCCCTGTCTTACCTGTAGTTCATAGAACTCCCTGTCTTACCTGTAGCTCATAGAACTCCCTGTCTTACCTGTAGCTCATAGAACTCCCTGTCTACCTGTAGCTCATAGAACTCCCTGTCTTACCTGTAGCTCATAGAACTCCGTCTTACCTGTAGCTCTAGGAACTCCCTGTCTTACCTGTTAGCTCATAGAACTCCCTGTCTTACCTGTAGCTCATAGGAACTCCCTGTCTTACCTGTAGCTCATAGGACTCACTGTCTTACCTGTAGCTCATAGAACTCCCTGTCTTACTGTAGCTCATAGAACTCCCTGTCTTACCTGTAGCTCATAGAACTCCCCTGTCTTACCTGTAGCTCATAGAACTCCCTGTCTTACCTGTAGCTCATAGGACTCCCTGTCTTACCTGTAGCTCATAGAACTCCCTGTCTTACCTGTAGCTCATAGAACTCCCTGTCTTACCTGTAGCTCATAGAACTCCCTGTCTTACCTGTAGCTCATAGAATTCCCTGTCTTACCTGTAGCTCATAGGACTCCCTGTCTTACCTGTAGCTCATAGAACTCCCTATCTTACCTGTAGCTCATAGGACTCCCTGTCTTACCTGTAGCTCATAGGACTCCCTGTCTTACCTGTAGCTCATAGAACCCCCTGTCTTACCTGTAGTTCATATAACCCCCTGTTTTTACCTGTACTCATAGAACTCCCTGTTTTACCTGTAGCCATGGGGACTCCCTGTCTTCCCTTTAAAGCCCCATGGGCCCTCCCTGTTTTATGCTCAAGAACTCCTGTCTTCCCGGGCCAAAAAGGCTCAAAACTCCCGGGCCTTTTCCAGTAGTACAGCTGAAGCTTTTTCTTCACAGCAACACACATCCTCAGCTGGGCCTCTCCTGAAGGGGACTGCTGCAGGAAGAAGAAGAAGAAGAAGAAGATATATTTGTCCATTGTCACAGGGAAACAGATTTTACAGGAGCTACAGATAAATAGAATTCACTGGTTCACGTCAAGACATTTACAAACTATGTCACTATGTCATCTCACCTGCAGGTCACAGGCGAAGAGCGTTGCCCCTCTGGCCTTGGAGACCACAGTAATCTGCTGGAAGGTCAACAGATCATGGACATGGATGTTGTTCTCTGTAGGGGGGGGGGAGAAGGGTTCACACACCCAGTAAAGCAATAATTAAAAACATATGACCTATGGATTACTGAGATTAACAACCACATGTTCAAGTAAACAACATGTCTGCTTGTTTGCTGAAGAGAATATGTTGTTTCACCTACCTAACAGACTGATGAGAATCTTGTACTGTGACACAACAAACAGCTGTGAGAAGGAGAGACAAGAGGAGGTTGAACTGGACAGCGGGACAATGGTAGCCTGAGTGCAAGTCTGTTTGTGATCAAGCCAGTGCAACGGATATAAGGACGGGCTGTACGCTCTCTCCACAGCTTGAAATGTCGCCAGTTGGGGCTATCGAGGAGGATCCTTTTTGGTGGCGCGACTAGATGATACGTTGTCAAGTGGGCGGTCACGTGTTCAAGCTGTGGTATGAACAGTTTACCCTGAGTTGTACTCATAGAGAGGGAGGAAGCTAATGGTGCTAAGCTAGCGCAGGACGCACACACACACACCAAATCCTCGTCAGTCATTATCATACCATGCTTGGCTTGACAATGACAGCAACTGAACCCGGCTAGGACAACGGAGTGTCTACTATATTTCTTTAATCTGACATAACCTCATTTAGAAATGACTGTCACATCAACAGAATGTGAAGTCTCATCCTCACTCTGTCTAAAATCTACCTGCTGGATCTTCTTGGAGAAGTTCTTGTTGGACTTCTCCAGAGTCACCTCAAACCTGTTGGTACCTATGAGGAAGAAAGAGAGACAGGATATGTTTCCTTGTTTGAAACACCTGCTAAGGAATGAGGAAATAACCAACAACAAAAAATGACACTGGAAACTATGCTTTAAGACGCCAACCATTCACATACAAATAGACAGGGCCTGGGACACGCATACAAATACACAGGGACACAGGACACTGACAGGGACACAGGACACTGACAGGGACACAGGGACTCAGGACACTGACAGAGACACAGGACACTGACAGGGACACAGGACACTGACAGGGACACAGAGACTCAGGGACACGGGACACTGACAGGGACACAGGACACTGACAGGGACACAGGGACTCAGGACACTGGGACACGGGACACTGACAGGGACACAGGGACTCAGGACACTGGGACACAGGACACTGGCAGGGACACAGGACACTGACAGCAGATGTCTTTCTCTTATTCACCTGCATCCTTTTTTATCCTGTAGAGCAGGAGATGGCCTGGTTTAGTCCCCACCAGAAGCCATTCCTCTGTTACGTGATACGGGAGAGAAGGTCAATAAGTATGACACTCACGTCACTGAGCGACATTATAACATAACGGTATCAATTAAATAGGACGTCTCTACAAACAAAAACAACAAAAACCCCATCCCAAGTTCTCGACCAGGTGCAAAACAGGGTTGCTTTGTTTACAATTGTCTGTCAACTCAAAACTCATCAAGTTACATTTGCTACAACTAGCTGGCGAGAGTTATCAGTTGGTTATCTGTTAAACAAACCAGCCAGCTAGCTTAGTACCTACCTAGTCAGCTAGTGTATGGCAACAATAATTTGCTATGTTAGCTTGCTACTGTAGCTAGCTAGCTTGCTGACAATATTAACTTACCCCAGGCCGCAAGACAATCAATCTGGAGAGGCAGTTTCTCCAGGATAGGGACCGGTTCGTAAGCGTCATGCATTGTGGCGCTTTCTTGGTAGCTAGTTGAGGGAAACTGTTGTTTCCCGTTTTAGCTAGCTATGCGCTAACGTTAGCTAGTCAGCAGCTACAGTTACTGTAGCTAGCAGTGACAATAACAAACACTTTTAGGGGCGACGTTACAAGGCACGTCTAAAAATGTCAAGTCCCACCCACCGATCAAACCGTTTCTTTAACCCGTGGCGGTAACCATAAGAGAATTCCTCTGTCATTCGATGAAGCCATGACATCCAATAAATAGTAATTGATTAGCTAGCTAACTTGCTATGTTAGCGAGCGCACACAAAAATGCTAACGAGATAACGCGTTTGCTAGCTGGGGTAGCAAAATACCGTATACTTGAAACTTCATCGACAAGAAATCTGAAAGAAGTGTTTAAATACTTATCGTACAAATTGTTCTGCTTGTCAATAAGCCAACACCAGAGATAAAATAATAATAATATATATATATCTGCTAACACTCAGTGGCTTGCTCCTTACTGACTCGCGTTACAGACGAGAGGAAGAGGCGAAGCGAGAGGTGCAACTCCGCCCGAAATCTGTCTCCTCCAGCATGTGTCGAATTTAGTCAACCAAAAAATGTAATGGCTTATTTGATCGAATAGAAGTGTCGTAATGCTTAGGTTGTACTGATATAAATAGGACACGTGATACCCCGGCAACTTTCAGAAAGAAAAAAAAAAAAACTTTATATCGAAGTTGTGCCGGGGGGGGCTGTGCTTGTCATCTTTAAGGACATGTATGCTCCCATCTTTAAGGACATGTATGCTCCCATCTTTAAGGACATGTATGCTCCCATCTTTAAGGACATGTATGCTCCCATCTTTATGGACATGTATTTCCATTGCTGGAGCGGCCACTCGACCATCTGGTCAACATAATGGATAATCTGTGAGTACATTCACCAGGGATGAATTATAACAAAACCCGTCTTCACCAGCGTTCTGGCACAGGGGTCGTAGTAGGGAATAATGCCCACCTTGTATAAACATCACCCCACAGGTCAAATCCATTTCACATAATACTATATACGGATTGTATTCATTTGCATAATTATGACGAGGTTTTTAATATAAACTTTAATCCCAGAACAAACAGCAAAAAGGCATACAATAATGTAACAAAGAAATTACAACGCAGACCCACTTTTTACAGTACATTAGATACCTTCCTTATTTCCTGCAAAACAAAAGAAACAATGGGATGCATGACAATTTAACAATGCAAAACCATATGCTGTCTGTAGAATAAATTACTGGGCCAGTTGGGCCCTAGTCTGGCCACATGGGCTGCGTTTCAACAGGCAACCCAATTCTGATATTTTGCCTAATTATTGGCAAAAGATCAGAATTGGGCTGCCTGTGAATCCGCAGCCATATTGCAGTAGATCACACTGTGCCAGGGGTTGGGGGACTTCCAAGTTAATTATCTTGGGAGGTGGAGGCAGGATTGAGTGGGCAGAAACGGACATATGAAAAGCCCCACGGTGACACATAATAATGCATTTAGCAAATATTAGACAAAATGTGTGTGTGTCAATACGAATATAGACAGGTGGCAATGGCAGCCTGACCGACTCCCTGGGCCAAGTGACGGGGGGGACGGGGGACGGGGGGGGGGCGCGTCCCAAATGGCACCCTATTTAGCGCACTACTTTTGACCAGGGCCCTAGCCAAAAGTAGTGCACTATATAGGGATCTATTTGGGATGCGCGCCCTAGATTGACCAAAACTGAAAATCTTCACATGGTCACAAATATAATACATGCAGTACATCACCCTACAGCAATGCTGCTTGCCCTAGCTCACTCAACTCACTCCCTCCCTGGCTATGTCCCAATGATCTCTCCTTCCTCCCAAAAAGTGTGCACTTGTTCACTTCCCTTCACTGATTTGAAAGGAAAATGGGTGGAAACTAGTCCATGCCTCCACCAATCCAATGCGTTTAGATTTTTTATGGGCGGTAGTGAACGAGTGTACACTTCAAGAGAAAGGAGATACTATTGGCTCTATATCCGTCGACTTGTCACTCCTATCTCTCTGAGGATACAGCATCATGGCCAACTGGCGCACTATGTAGGTCCTGGTCTAAAGTAGTGCACTATAAAAGGAAACAAAAGTAGTGCACTACACAGGGAATAGAGTGCCATTAGGTACATCCATAGAGTTTAATAAGAGGCTGCATGGCAGAGCTCCGAATGAAGGAACATAAAAAAAAAAAAAAAGTGTTGTACATAAATATTGGATCTGATGTGTCATTTCATTTAACTCCATCAATGGCTGCCTCAGTGAAACCCCCCCACCCCACTCGGTCATTCCATTTTGGATCTCTCCATCTTGGTTTTCAGAATTTCCTGGGGACAAAAAGTGAGAGCGAGAGAAACGTGTCCTATGAGTCTCTGTTGAATGATGGTAAGACAAAATATCCCGTTTTACTGTGAGCTTTTTTAATAGACATAAATGTGACTGCCAGTCATTATGAGGCTGCAGGAAGAGAAGTTTCTTATTTACCTCCTCCTCGTCAAGCATTACTGGGAGAGCTCTGCAGAGAGAGAGAGAGAGAGAGAGAGAGAGAGAGAGAGAGAGAGAGAGAGAGAGAGAGAGAGAGAGAGAGAGAGAGAAGAGAAGAGAGAGAGAGAGAGAGAGAGAGAGAGGAGACACATCTCCTCTCGAGCTCTCTCCGCTCTAACTCTCCTAGCCTCCGCTCCTCGCTCTCTCCTCTCTTCTCTCCTCTCTCTCTCGCTTCTCGAGCAGAGACGAGAGAGACCAGATAAGGAAGCTCATAGAGAGGTGTATATCATTTGTTCATGTATGATTTTTGTTTTTTATATATAATTATTAATATTGTAGCTCAAATAAATTCAAAAAAGAAATTATACTTCATATACATTGCTTTTGCAAATAATTACTACCACCATTCATGCCAATGAAGCATTTCTTGAATTGAGAGCAGAAAGGTGACCAGTTCTAGAATGAATGTGGCAGTGCTTGACTTGGGCCAATGCACCTCAAATGTTCCTTTCGTTCCTACTCACACGTCAGCAACAGTTGTGGGAATGTTCTCCTCGACCCACTTCAGGTCCTCATCCTGAGAACAAGAGAAAGGATACATTCATTTATTTATTTATTTGTCTATATGTAAACAGTGTCTTCAATCAGATTGGACTGTGAAAAGATGACTACATTTACATTTACATTTTAGTCGTTTAGCAGACGCTCTTATCCAGAGCGACTTACAGTTAGTGAATACATATTATTATTTTTTTATACTGGCCCCCCGTGGGAATTGAACCCACAACCCTGGCGTTGCAAACGCCATGCTCTATCAAATGAGCTACATCCCTGCCGGCCATTCCCTCCCCTACCCTGGACGACGCTGGGCCAATTGTGCGCCGCCCATGAGTCTCCCGGTCACGGCCGGCTGCGACAGAGCCTGGATTCGAACCAGGATCTCTAGTGGCACAGTTAGCAAGTGCTTTAGACCACTGTGCCACTCAGGAGACACAAGGATGACTAAATTAGTCATCCTTCCAATCTTATACAAGACACTGTTGCTGCAGACATGCCCAAAGTAATTACCCCTCTGGGATAAATCATGTTTTTATTTTTATTGAATTGAATGGATTCAGCTCTTTACTCAGTAGTATTGAATTGAATGGACTGACCCCTTTACTCAGTAGTTTTGAATTGAATGGACTGACCCCTTTACTCAGTAGTATTGAATTGAATGGACTGACCCCTTTACTCAGTAGTTTTTAATTGAATGGACTGACCCCTTTACTCAGTAGTTTTGAATTGAATGGACTGACCCCTTTACTCAGTAGTTTTGAATTGAATGGACTGACCCCTTTACTCAGTAGTATTGAATTGAATGGACTGACCCCTTTACTCAGTAGTTTTGAATTGAATGGACTGACCCCTTTACTCAGTAGTTTTGAATTGAATGGACTGACCCCTTTACTCAGTAGTATTGAATTGAATGGACTGACCCCTTTACTCAGTAGTTTTGAATTGAATGGACTGACCCCTTTACTCAGTAGTATTGAATTGAATGGACTGACCCCTTTACTCAGTAGTATTGAATTGAATGGACTGACCCCTTTACTCAGTAGTATTGAATTGAATGGACTGACCCCTTTACTCAGTAGTTTTGAATTGAATGGACTGACCCCTTTACTCAGTAGTATTGAATTGAATGGACTGACCCCTTTACTCAGTAGTATTGAATTGAATGGACTGACCCCTTTACTCAGTAGTATTGAATTGAATGGACTGACCCCTTTACTCAGTAGTTTTGAATTGAATGGACTGACCTCTTTACTCAGTAGTTTCTGTGACTGGGATCCGTTAGTCTCAGCCTTGGTGCCTCTCATTTTCACCCCCTCTGCAACAGAATGGGGAGTTAGATACAGCGCCTTTACAAAGGATTCATACATCACTCATCATTTTCAATTCAGGCTGTAACACAACAAAATGTGGAGTAAGTCAAGGGGTATAAATACTTTCTAAAGGCATTGTAGAGACCAGGGTTGGGGTCAATTCAGGAAGTACACTGAAATTCCAATTCCAATTCTCGTCAATGCTTTTCCATTAGGAAAATGTGGAATTGGAATTTAGTTTACTTTCTGAATTGAAATGGATTGACTCCAACTCTGCTAGACAGGAATTGACCCCAACCCTGCTAGACAGGAATTGACCCCAACCCTGCTAGACTGGAATTGACCCCAACCCTGCTAGACAGGAATTGACCCCAACCCTGCTAGACTGGAATTGACCCCAACCCTGCTAGACTGGAATTGACCCCAACCCTGCTAGACTGGAATTGACCCCAACCCTGCTAGACAGGAATTGACCCCAACCCTGCTAGACTGGAATTGACCCCAACCCTGCTAGACTGGAATTGACCCCAACCCTGCTAGACTGGAATTGACCCCAACCCTGCTAGACAGGAATTGACCCCAACCCTGCTAGACAGGAATTGACCCCAACCCTGCTAGACAGGAATTGACCCCAACCCTGCTAGACAGGAATTGACCCCAACCCTGCTAGACAGGAATTGACCCCAACCCTGCTAGACAGGAATTGACCCCAACCCTGCTAGACTGGAATTGACCCCAACCCTGCTAGACTGGAATTGACCCCAACCCTGCTAGACAGGAATTGACCCCAACCCTGCTAGACAGGAATTGACCCCAACCCTGCTAGACAGGAATTGACCCCAACCCTGCTAGACTGGAATTGACCCCAACCCTGCTAGAGATCCCTATTATCATATATTATATCAATCTTGTGGCAATGCGGCCGGAAATCCTAATGTTAAACTGGTTAAAGTCTTTCACCAAAGGCTTCATTCAGCATGGGTTCCTTTGCTTCATCCTCCTCATCGTCTTCATCGATCAGAGGGGAATGGGAGAACCTGCGAGAACACAACACTGTCACTACTGTATATATTATTAGTGTTAATACTATGACCTCTGACCTCTATGAAAACGCCAGACAGGTACATAGTCTGTTATAAAAATGTTGACCTCTGACCTCTGGCTGTTGGCGGAGGGTCGCAGCAACACCATGATGACCAGGAGGATGGTGGAGAAGAGGAGACGCCAGAACGCATCGTCTACCCACAAGTCCCTCCAGCCCTGAGACACACACAGGCAGAGACAGTTAACATTAACATACAGACAATGAACAGAGACACATTACATTTAACATTTCAGTCATTTAGCAGACGCTCTTATCCGGAGCGACTTACAGTTAGTGAGTGCATAATTTATTTAATTTTTTTATACTGGCCCGCCGTGGGAATCAAACCCACAACCCTGGCGTTGCAAACGCCATGCTCTACCAACTGAGCTACATCCCCTGCCGGCCATCCCCTCCCCTACCCTGGACGACGCTGGGCCAATTGTGCGCCGCCCCATGGGGTCTCCCGGTCGCGGCCGGCTACGACAGAGCCTGGATTACACAGTGTAGTAAAACACAAAAAGACAACAGCAGAGACAGTCCATCATAATCAATTATCATTTGTTTAGAATATGTAGACAGTAGGTATACACTGAACAAAAATATAAAAACGCAACATGCAACAATTTCAAAAGATATGCAGTTCATAAGGAAATCGGTCAATTGAAATAAATTCATTCAAATCAAATTGTATTTGTCACATGTGCCGAATACAACAGGTGTAGACCTTACCGTGAAATGCTTACTTACAAGCCCTTAACCAACAATGCAGTTCAAGAAATAGAGTTCATCTATGGATTTCACATGACTCGGAATACAGATATGCATCTGTTGGTCACAGATACCTTTAATAAAAAAAGTAGGGGCGTTGATCAGAAAACCACCATTTGCCTCATGCAGCGCGACACATATCCTTCGCATAGAGTTGATCAGGCTGTTGATTGTGGCCTGTGGAATGTTGTCCCACTCCTCTTCAATGGCTGTGCGAAGTAGCTGGATATTGGCGGGAACTGGAACACGCTGTCGTACACGTCGATCCAGAGCATCCCAAACATGCTCCTGGGTGACGTCTGGTGAGTATGCAGGCCATGGAAGAACTGTGACATTTCCAGCTTCCAGGAATTGTGTACAGATCCTTGCAACATGGGGCCGTGCATTATCATGCTGAAACATGAGGTGATGGCGGCATATGAGGTGATGGCGGCAGATGAATGGCACAACAATGGGCCTCAGGACCACGTCGCGGTACCTCTGTGCATTCAAATTGCCATCGATAAAATGCAATTGTGTTCGTTGTCCGTAGCTTATGCCTGCCCATACCATAACCCCACCGCCACCATGGGGCACTCTGTTCACAACGTTGACATCAGCAAACCTCTCACCCACACGGCGCCATACACAGGCCGGTTGGACGTACTGCCAAATTCTCTAAAATGATGTTGGAGACGGCTTATGGTAGAGAAATGAACATTACATTTTCTGGCAGCAGCTCTGGTGGTCATTCCTGCAGTCAGCATGCCAATTACACACTCCCTCAAAACTTGAGACATCTGTGGCATTGTGTTGTGTGATAAAACTGCACATTTTAGAGTGGCTTTTTATTGTCCCCAGCACAAGGTGCACCTGTGTAATGATCATGCTGTTTAATCAGCTTCTTGATATGCCACACCTGTCAGGTGGATGGATTATCTTGGCAAAGGAGAAATGTTCACTAACAGGGATGTAAACAAATTTGTGCACAAAATGAGAGAAATAAGCTTTTTGTGCGTATGGAACATTTCTGGGATCTTTTATTTCAGCTCATGAAACATGGGACCAACACTTTACATGTTGCGTTTGTATTTTTGTTCAGTGTAAAATCTACCAACTCACCGTCTGGCAGTCCACCAGCTTAAACACTTTGGTCGTCCAGATGATGAAGATTATAGAAGCTACGGGAACAAAAAGCGTAGAGATTAATTCTTTTATTAAATTTATCCTTTGTTTATTCAATAAGTCAATATTGAGATTACAGAATCTCTTTTTTTCCAAGTAAGACCTGAGTACAACAAACAAAATGATATAACATTGAAAAGTTGTTTCTTTCATAGCATTGTGACATATAAAGAGCACATTAACACCATCCGTAAATATTCCTCCAACTCACCCAGGACAGAGAAGATGAGCGTGTTGGTGAAATGCTGATATAGAGACAGCTTCACTACGTTCCTACGCAGCTTCAGAAGACGGGTGGTCTGGGACAGGCTTATGAAGATCCACCACATGACACAGGAGTCAATGAGAGAGAGACTCAGGTTAGCCACCAGGGCTACAGTCCCCATAGAAACCCTGAAACAAGATAGAGCGAGAGAGAGATAGAGATAGAGAGGGAGAGAGGAGAGAGAGAGAGAGAGAGAGATAGAGAGAGAGAAGAGAGAGAGAGAGAGAGAGAGAAGAACAGACAGAGAGAGAGACAGAGAGACAGAGAGACAGAGAGACAGAGAGAACAGAGAGCAGAGAGACAGAGAGACGATCCGAGAGCGAGAGCGAGAGCGGAGCGGAGAGAGGATAGAAGAGAGAGAAAGATAAGAAGAGAGCGAAGAGCCAGAGAAGAGAGAGAGAGAGAGAGAAGAGAGAGATAGAGAGAGCGAGAGAGAGACAGAGAGAGGAGACAGAGAGAAGAGAGAACAGAGAGAGAGAGAGAGACAGAGAGAGACAGAGAGAGAGATGCATCCACAAGGTGTCTCATGAAGTGATATAGGAACTTGCACTAGATGCTAAGTGTAGTAATTATCCAAACTGTAGCTACTCACTCCTGTGACGCGCAGCACTCCCTCCACAGAGGAGAAGAGCAGGTAGAGTAGACCCACTGCTGCCAGCCGGTGGACTGTGGTGCCCAGCCTGGGTCTGTGAGAGACATCGCAGGAAAACAGGGGGATCAGGGCCTGTACTCACAAAACAGTCTCAGGAGTACAGATCTAGGGTCAGCTTCCCCTTTTAGATCATACTGAAAAAAAGATGATATTAAAAAGGAAGGGGTCTGATCCCAGATCAGCACTCTGACCCAGAGATGCTTTGTGAATACGGGCTCTGATATGTGGTCAAAGACAGGCCATAAAACCAGGGCGTTGGTGTGTGTGGGCTTGTATTAGTATCCTCGTGGGTACCGTAAATCCCCAAAAGTCCCCACAAGGATAGTAAAACCTATGCTGTGTGTGTGTGTGTGTGTGTGTGTCACAACTCCTTGTATAAGATTGTAGGGTGAGAGTAGTGTAGGAGAATCCTGCCTGGATAAATATTGGTAGGGAAGATACCATCCAGTCAGTAGGTGACGGACAATGGCAGCTGTCTAAGTGACAATACCAGTTCATTTCTAAACCCATAGACTAGTGTAAATCATAGTTAGTACAGTATTAATATTGTTTACGTCCCAAATGGCACCCTATTCCCTATATAGTGCGCTACTTTTGACTGGAGCTCTATGGGCCCTATAGTGCACTATAACAGGAAATAGGGCGCTATTTGGGACGCGCCTACAGTGTGGCTGAACTCACTTGACGATGCCGTAGCCCAAACTGACAATGAGCACCAGGACCCTAGCCAGAGATCTCTTCAGAGCAGACAGCAGCTCAGCAAAGATCACGGCACCTTGGACTGTGGAGGGAGAAAATGTTCAAACGTTAGTTGGATGTAATTTACCGATTTATAACAATCACTACGTTCTAAATAAAAGAGAATGACCCATGATGCAGATATCCTTTAAATCAAAATCAGTCAACCGATCCGACTGACCCAAAATAAAAAGAAAAGAACTGACAGTGCATTCAAAAATAAGAGCGGGAATTTAACCCACCATAGTCTCCTCTGTAGCCGATGCTCTGGTACTCAGAATAGAAGACTGCTTTCTCCAGCATGCCCAGGATGATGACTCCTCCGATCCAGAACTGGATCCTCAACAGATCCTTCCAGTAACAGGCCGACCAGAAAAGCCAGAGCGCCCCGAAGAACACATACACTATACACATCACCATGTAGAACTGTAGAAGAACATTGTCACGAGAATTTTGTTATCTCAAATGGTTGAAGTCAACTAACTTCTTAAATCTCTGAATAATTCCCAAAAGGTTGTACATCTCTTAGTTTAAATTAATTAAACAAAGACTCAATCCTGCAATGGTCAGCATATTTATTCCTCTTTAGGCGGGCTGTAGTTTTCCACTGGAAAACTGCTCTGCTGACCATCAGGTCACACACACACACACACACATACATACACACACATGTTCTTATCATAGGCTGCATTCCTGAGTTATCGCCTCCTCACAATATCCTGCCAGCCTTCCACTCCCCCTCCCTGTGTGTTTTGGGAACCAGTCTATACTCTGTTGCTGGGATATAAACACATTTGATTAACTCTCTAAGCTCTAGTCTACTAATTAGTCAGACATTATTAGTTTAACTGAGGGAGTAACATTTTAGTCATCTCTCACCTCACACATTTCTTTATCAAAACATATACATCACCATGTAGAACTGACCCTAGCCCTGACCCTGACCCTGACCCTAGCCCTGACCCTGACCCTAGCCCTGACCCTAGCCCTGACCCTAGCTCTGACCCTGGCCCTGACCCTAGCCCTGACCCTAGCTCTGACCCTGGCCCTGACCCTAGCCCTGACCCTGACCCTAGCCCTGACCCTGACCCTAGCCCTGACCCTGGCCCTGGCCCTGACCCTGCCCTGACCCTGGCCCTGACCCTGACCCTGACCCTAGCCCTGACCCTGACCCTAGCCCGACCTGACCCTGACCCTAGCCCTGACCCTGGCCCTGACCCTGACCCTAGCTCTGACCCTGACCCTGACCCTGGCCCTGACCCTGGCCCTGACCCTGACCCTAGTTCTGACACTAGCCCTGACCCTGACCCTAGCTCTGACCCTGGCCCTGACCCTGACCCTGGCCCTGACCCTGGCCCTGACCCTAGCCCTGACCCTGACCCTGACCCTAGCCCTAGCCCTGGCCCTGACCCTGACCCTGACCCTAGTTCTGACACTAGCCCTGACCCTGACCCTAGCTCTGACCCTGGCCCTGACCCTGACCCTAGCCCTGACCCTAGCCCTGACCCTGGCACCTGCCTGCCCTGACCCTAGCCCTGACCCTAGCCCTGACCCTGACCCTGGCCCTGACCCCCTGACCCTAGCCCTGGCCCTGACCCTGACCCTGACCCTGACCCTAGCCCTGACCCTGGCCCTGACCCTAGCCCTGACCCTAGCCCTGACCCTGACCCTAGCCCTGACCCTGACCCTAGCCCTGACCCTGACCCTAGCCCTGACCCTCTGACCCTAGCCCTGGCCCTGACCCTGACCCTGACCCTGACCCTAGCCCTGACCCTGACCTGCCCTGACCCTAGCCCTGACCCTGCCCTGCCCTGACCCTAGCCCTGACCCTAGCCCTGACCCTAGCCCTGACCCAGACCCTGACCTGCCCTGACCCTGCCCTGACCCTAGCCCTGACCCTGACCACTGACCCTACCTGCCCTGACCCTGACCCTAGCCCTGACCCTGACCCTAGCCCTGACCCCTGACCCTGCCCTGACCCTGATAGCCCCTGACCCCTGACCCTAGTTCCTGACCCTGCTGCCCTGACCCTAGCCCTGACCCTAGCCCTGCCCTGACCCTAGCCCTGACCTACCTGGACCCTAGCCCTGACCCTAGCCCTGGCCCTGACCCTGACCCTAGCCCTGACCCTAGCCCTGACCCTGACCCTGACCCTAGTTCCTGACCCTAGCCCTGACCCTAGCCCTGACCCTGGCCCTGACCCTAGCCCTGGCCCTGACCCTGACCCTGACCCTAGCCCTGACCCTGGCCCTGACCCTAGCCCTGGCCCTGACCCTGACCCTAGCCCTGACCCTAGCCCTGACCCTAGCTCTGACCCTGCCCTAGCCCTGACCCTAGCCCTGCCCTGACCTGCCCTGACCCTAGCCCTGCCCTGACCCTACTGACCCTAGCCCTGACCCTAGCCGACTGCCTGACCACCTGAGCCCTGACCCTGACCCTAGCCCTGACCCTAGCCCTGACCCTAGCCCTGACCCTAGGCCCTGGCCCTGACCCTAGCCCTGCCTACCCTGCCCTCCCGACCCTGCCTACCCTGACCCTAGCCCTGACCTAGCTCGACCCTAGCCCTACCTGACCCTAGCCCTGACCCTGACCCTAGCCCTGACCCTAGCCCTGACCCTAGCCTGACCCTAGGCCCTGACCCTAGCCCTGACCCTAGGCCCTGACCCTGACCCTAGCCCTGACCCTAGCCCTGACCCTAGGCCCTGACCCTGACCCTAGCCCTGACCCTAGGCCCTGGCCCTGACCCTAGCCCTGACCCTAGCCCTGACCCTAGGCCCTGGCCCTGACCCTAGCCCTGACCTTAGTCCTGACCCTGGCCCTGGCCCTGACCCTGACCCTGTATACAGCATACATTCTTCTGTTGTTTTTTGTCTCTCTTATTTATGTATTTTTTTCAGTTACACTATTTTGATATTGAATACAACACTATTGGGAAGGGCTTGCAAGTTAAGCATTTCACTGTACTTGTGCATGTGACGAATAAAACTTGAAACATACCATCATAAGAGGCCAGTCTGCAGGGGAGGAGTATTCACGAGGCCCCTTCATCTCCACGGTCACTGTAAGTACACAGACAGACAGACAGACAGACAGACAGGCAATCAGACAGACAGGCAATCAGACAGACAGACAGACAGACAGACAGGCAGGCAATCAGACAGACAGGCAATCAGACAGACAGACAGACAGGCAGACAGGCAATCAGACAGACAGACAGGCAGGCAGGCAGGCAGACAGACAGACAGACAGACAGACAGACAGACAGAGAGGCAGGCAGACAGGCAGGCAGGCAGACAGGCAGACAGACAGGCAGGCAGGCAGACAGACAGGCAATCAGACAGACAGACAGGCAATCAGACAGACAGACAGACAGACAGACAGACAGACAGACAGGCAGACAGGCAGGCAGGCAGACAGACAGACAGACAGACAGGCAGGCAGACAGGCAGACAGACAGGCAGGCAGACAGGCAGGCAGACAGGCAGACAGACAGGCAATCAGACAGACAGGCAATCAGACAATGTATATTTCTCATAGCACTGCAGACAGAAGGGCACTTCAATGATGAAGCACTAAGTCAAAGGCCTACAGTGCCTTGCAAAAGTATTCATCCCCCTTGGCGTTTTTCCTATTTTGTTACATTACAACCTGTAATTTAAATGGATTTTTATTTGGATTTCATGTAATGGACATACACAAAATAGTCCAAATTGGTGAAGTGAAATTAAAAAAATAACTTGTTTCAAATAAATTCTAAAAAATAAATAACGGAAAAGTGGTGCGTGCATATGTATTCACCCCCTTTGCTATGAAGCCCCTAAATAAGATCTGGTGCAACCAATTACCTTCAGAAGTCACATAATTAGTTAAATAAAGTCCACCTGTGTGCAATTTAAGTGTCACATGATCTCAGTGTATATTTAGACCTGTTCTGAAAGGCCCCAGAGTCTGCAACACCACTAAGCAAGGGGCACCACCAAGCAAGCGGCACCATGAAGACCAAGGAGCTCTCCAAACAGGTCAGGGTACAGATCAGGGTTGGGTTGTAAAAAAAATATCAGACACTTTGAACATCCCACGGAGCACCATTAAATCCATTATAAAAAAATTGAAAGAATATGGCACCACAACAAACTTGCCAAGAGAGGGCCCACCCAACAAAACTCACGGACCAGGCGAGGATGGTATTAATCAGAGAGGCAACAAAGAGACCAAAGATAACCCTGAAGGAGCTGCAAAGCTCCACAGGGGAGATTGGATTATCTGTCCATAGGACCACTTTAAGCCGTACACTCCACAGAGCTGGGCTTTACGGAAGAGTGGCCAGAAAAAAGCCATTGCTTAAAGAAAAAAATAAGCAAACATGTTTGGTGTTCGCCAAAAGGCATGTGGGGGACTCCCCAAACATATGGAAGAAGGTACTCTGGTCAGATGTGACTAAAATTGAGCTTTGTGGCCATCAAGGAAAACACTATGTCTGGCGCAAACCCAAAACCTCTCATCACCCCGAGAGCAACATCCCCACAGTGAAGCATGGTGGTGGCAGCATCATGCTGTGGGGATGTTTTTCCATCGGCAGGGACTGGGAAACTGGTCAGAATTGAAGGAATGATGGATGGCGCTAAATACAAGGAAATTCTTGAGGGAAACCTGTTTCAGTCTTCCAGAGATTTGAGACTGGGACGGAGGTTCACCTTCCAGCAGGACAATGACCCTAAGCATACTGCTAAAGCAACACTTGAGTGGTTTAAGGGGAAACATTTAAATGTTTTGGAATGGCCTAGTCAAAGTCCAGACCTCAATCCAATTGAGAATCTGTGGTATGACTTAAAGATTGCTGTACACCAGTGGAACCCATCCAACTTGAAGGAGCTGGAGCAGTTTTGCCTTGAAGAATGGGCAAAAATCCCAGTGACTAGATGTGCCAAGCTTATAGAGACATACCCCAAGAGACTTGCAGCTGTAATTGCTGCAAAAGGTGTCTCTACAAAGTATTGACTTTGGGGGGGTGAATAGTTATGCACGCTCAAGTTCTGTTTTTTTTGTCTTACTTCTTGTTTGTTTCACCATAAAAAATATTTAGCATCTTCAAAGTGGTAGGCATGTTGTGTAAATCAAATGATACAAACCCCCCAAAAATCTATTTAATTCCAGGTTGTAAGGCAACAAAATAGGAAAAATGCCAAAGGGGGGGTGAATACTTTCGCAAGCCACTGTATGTTCATAGAAGTGAGTTAGCGATGGTGATACTGACTGATTAAGGCCAAGTTTCCCTGGACATCATTAGCTTCCTCCTCCTCCTCTGCTCCAGGGCGCTGCTGCGGCTGTACCTTCACTATAAACAGGTAGGGGCTATCGGACCACGCCTTGGCCACGGCACCTACATCCTGCAGGGGACACATGACAAGACTGGATGTGTCCCAAATGACACGCTGTTCCCTATTTATTAGAATTATGAATGGAGTGTAATTAGTGTAATCCCACAGTTACCCTCCAGAGGTCACTGTTCCCTATTTAGTCAGTGGTGGAAAAAGTACCCAATTATCATACTTGAGTAAAAGTAAAGATACCTTTACAGAAAAATGACTCAAGTAAAAGTGAGAGTCACCCAGTAAAAATACCACTTGAGTAAAAGTATTTGGTTTAAAATATACTTAAGTATCAAAAGGAAATGTAATTGCTAAAATATACTTAAGTATCAAAATAAATAAAAACTTTCAAATTCCTTATATTAAGCAAAGCAGATGGCACAATTGTCTTGTTTTTTAAATTTACGGATAGCCAGGGGCACGCTCCAACACTCAGACGTCACTTACAAACAAATAATTTGTGTTTAGTGAATCCACCAGATCAGAGGCAGCAGGGAGGACCAGGGATGTTCTCTTGGTAAATGCGTGAATTGGACCATTTTCCTTTCCTGCTAATAATTCAAAATGTAACGAGTACTTATGGGTGTCAGGGAAAATGTATGTAGTAAAAGTACATTATTTTCTTTAGGAATGTAGTGAAGTAAAAGTATTCAAAAATATAAATAGTAAAGTAAAGTACAGATACCCAAAAAAAACGACTTAAGTGGTACTTTAAAGTATTTTAAAGTACTCTCTAGCTCAGCTGGTAGAGCACGGCGCTTGTAACGCCAAGGTAGTGGGTTCGATCCCCGGGACCACCCATACGTAAAAATGTATGCACGCATGACTGTAAGTCGCTTTGGATAAAAGCGTCTGCTAAATGGCATATTATTATTATTATATTATTATTTTTACTTAAGTACTTTCCACCACTGTATTTAGTGCACTACTTTTGACCAGGGCCCATTGGCTGCCTTTTGGGAAGCACACTTTCAATGCAGAACACATTTTAGACACAGACATGACTATGTACACCTTGTTTACACAAATCTCCACACTATATATATAGAGTTCTGTTTGGCTTACCGGCTTTTCCAGCCACCCCTGTGGAGCGCTCTGATTGGAAGGCCTGCCTTCCTCGCTCTAAAACAACAACAGTGACGGTTAGTGACTGATGGGCCGTTCCATTTCATTTTTTGACCGCACCTCTTCATTTGAACAAAGCATTATCTACATATTTGCCCACGGTAGAAGTAAAATAAAAATTAAAGAAATAACTTATTTACATAAGTATTCAGACCCTTTGCTATGAGACTCGAAATTGAGATCAGGTGCATCCTGTTTCCATTGATCATCCTTGAGATGTTTCTACAACTTGATTGGAGTCCACCTGTGGTAAATTCAATTGATTGGACATGATTTGGAAAGGCACACACCTGTCTATATAAGGTCCCACAGTTGACAGTGCATGTCAGAGCAAAAACCAAGCCATTGTCTGTAGAGCTCCGAGACAGGATTGTGTCGAGGCACAGATCTGGGGAAGGGTACCAAAAAATGTCTGCAACATTGAAGGTCCCAAAGAACACAGTGGCCTCCATCATTCTGCAATGGCAGAAGTTTGGACCCACCAAGACTCTTCCTAGAGCTGATCAATCAAGGGAGAAGGGACTTGGTCAGGGAGGTGACCAAGAACCTGATGGTCACTCTGACAGAGCTCCAGAGTTCCTCTGTGGAGATGGGAGAACCTTCCAGAAGGACAACCATCTCTGTAGCACTCCACCAATCAGGCCTTTATGGTAGAATGGCCAGACGGAAGCCACTCCTCAGTAAAAGGCACATGACAGCCCGCTTGGTGTTTGCCAAAAGGCACCTAAAGGACTCTCTGACCATGAGAAACAAGATTCTCTGGTCTGTTGAAACCAAGTTTGAACTCTTTGGCCTGAATGCCAAGCGTCACGTCTGGAGGAAACCTGGCACCATCCCTACAGTGAAGCATGGTGGTGGCAGCATCATGCTGTGGGGCTGTTTTTCAGTGGCAGGGACTTGAAGACTAGTCAGGATCGAGGCAAAGATGAACGGAGCAAAGCACAGAGAGATCCTTGATAAAAACCTGCTCCAGAGCACTCAGGACCTCAGACTGGGGCGAAGGTTCACCTTCCAACAGGACAATGACCCTAAGCACACAGCCAAGACAACGCAGGAGTGGCTTCGGGACAAGTCTCTGAATGTCCTTGAGTGGCCCAGCCAGAGCCCGGACTTGAACCCGATCAAACATCTCTGGAGAGACCTGAAAATAGCTGTGCAGCGACGCTCCCCATCCAACCTGACAGAGCTTGAGAGGATCTGCAGAGAAGAATGGGAGAAACTCCCCAAATACAGGTGTGCCAAGCTTGTAGCGTCGTACCCAAGAAGACTGGAGACTGTAATCGCTGCCAAAGGTGCTTCAACAAAGTACTGAGTGAATGGTCTGAATACTTATGTAAATGTGATATCACATTTACATAAATTTTTTGCCAAATGTGATATTTTACATTTACATACATTTTTTTGCTTTGTTATTAAACCAGTTTTTGCTTTGTCATTATGGGGTATTGTGTGTAGATTTGAGGGGGGGGGGGGAATTTAATCCATTTTAGAATAAGGCTGTAACGTAACAAAACGTGGAAAAAGTGTCAAGGGGTCTGAATACTTTCCCCAATGCTCTGTATAAATACCTGTGGGCTGGTGAGGGGTTGATGGGGGCTGAAGTCAGTGTAGTACACCTGGAAGGAGGATTGGATGGGGACAGAGATAATAATACATCAACCAAGAATGTTAAAGGCAGTGTATGTCCCAAACCCCCCCCCCCACAACCCCACAACAGAATAGCCAACCCACCTTGGGTAGGAGGAGGACAGAGCAGTTTTCGAAATACATGTATCCCTGGCTGTAGGAGCCTCTCCAGTCCTCCTTCAGCATGTTGTCCAGACCAAACATACTCAGGGCCTTGTTGTCCTGCAGGGAGTAGAAACAGACACAACTCACTGTGACTGGGCACAAAAACAACAACAACAACAAAAAAGGACAAGACAGAGGCGTGTCTGTTCTATTGGGAGAAATGATGGCGTCTTAATCATTCCAGGCAACACACTATTTCATGGTACTGGCCACTACAAACATTGATGTGACGGACGGGCACAGTTGCAGTACTGTTGCTCTGTGTGCTTCGTGTGCAGGGTTACGATGCGTCTGCCCGTGTTAGCCTGTTAGAAATGGGCAGCAGAGAAGAAAAGGGATTGTACTCACTGGAGTATTAAAGACTTCATTGTAGCAGATAGAGGAACGGAGGTACCAGCTGATGTTGAAGGCCAGGGTGGGATCACATAAAGCCAAGTCGCCCTGGACTGGAGGAGGAGAAGGAGGAAAGGAGAGTCACTGGCAGAAAGGAAAAGAGGTGGAATACAACACAATACTACATTCTTATAAGGTTATATATATATATTTTTTTTTAATGTTTGTTGTCATTTAGCAGACACTCTTATCCAGAGCGACTTACAGGAGCAATTAGGGTTAAGTGCCTTGCTCAAGGGCACATCGACAGATTTTTCACCTAGTCTGCTCGGAGGATTAGAACCAGCGACCTTTCGGTTACTGGCACAACGCTCTTATTAACCACTAAAGCTACCTGCCGCCCCACTTATATGAAGTGTAAGGCAGGTAGGTGTCTTTGCAGTGAAATGAAGGATCCTGGGAGAAACACAGCCATGGAGTCAGGGTGTGTCCAAAATGGCACTATATCCCTATACAGTACAGTGCACTACTTTTGACCGGGGAGCGGATAAGGAACAGGGTGCCATTTCAGACGAAGCCACGAGCAAGTAGCACGACAGGAGCAACATGAAAACCCTGTTTAACTACAGCTGTCAATCAATCTTTTTTGGTCCGTCAGCAAATTATCTTTGTCGTCTTCCAAGGCTTTATACTTACACCTCATGAAGATGGTTGTGTTGGCATACAACGTCTTCCTGAAGACGGCATTTTGTGACTGAGGAAACGAATAGATCAAGTTATCATTGCAGCAAGCAACCTTGGACTACCTCTTTACTAAATCATGTGACAGTAAGGTTTTATGGAAATACTTTTCATGGGTGTTCAATACAATACAGACAACTAGCTAGTTGGAATGGTATCAAGCATTAGCCTTGTTCTTGCTAACAGTATTATCTTAACTTAAGAAATAGCCTCCCGCCCCCATTAGTATGGAGTTAACTAGCTACATGCAGTATTCCATTCACTACCAGACCTTAGATGAGTGGTCATGAGTTGGAGCAGATGAGCACTAGAGAAAGGTAAGGTGACGAAGGTAGTAGTTTGGGGTACACTGTTGTCGACATTAATAACAGCATTGTCAGGTTATTGAGGACACAACCGAGTCTTCTAGGCTCAAGGAGTAGTTAGCTAATAATCTGTGGTAGCTAGCTAGTAGCCTAACCTCCCAGATCATGTGATGTAATATTAACCATGAAAACAAAATCAGGCAAGGTAACGTTAGTTACAGTACATACACAGGTGTCTGATTGTCGAACACCTTCATATCTGTCAACCCCCCCAGGATGATTACATCTGTCAACCCCCCCAGGATGATTACATCGGTCAACCCCCCCAGGATGATTACATCGGTCAACCCCCCCAGGATGATTACATCGGTCAACCCCCCCCAGGATGATTACATCGGTCAACCCCCCCAGGATGATTACATCGGTCAACCCCCCCAGGATGATTACATCGGTCAACCCCCCCCAGGATGATTACATCGGTCAACCCCCCCAGGATGATTACATCTGTCAACCCCCCCCAGGATGAATTGACTTCCCTGGGCTCGACTGTTCTACTATAACAAACCTGCTAAGCTAGCTGAGGTTACTTAGCTAGCTACCTGCTGCAGCTGATAATGAAATACTGTCATGCTACATACAACACGTTAACACACACACAGGACAGTCAGGTCGCATGTACTCACCGAGTTGATGTCGACATTCCACAAGGACACTTCTGCCGCGATCCCTGGACGCAAAATTGAAATAAAAAACAACGAACATGACCAATACACCGTGACATCTGGCATTTTAAATTTGTGTCCGAAGCAGTTCCGCAGTCAGTTCCGGCCCGGGGAGAGGCTATACCGACACGCCTGCTGCCCAAATAGATGACGTCGTGCAACTGAGTCGAATGGATTCGTTATAATAAGCATGAAGAAAATCAATTGTACCTCTTAAATCTAATTGTGTTAATGTAAAAATGTACAAAAAAAAACACATAAAAAACGAATAAACGAATAGAAAACCACTCTTCCTTGTTTTCTATAAGGAGTCGGCGCAGTACATTAAGATCATTCTACATTCTTCCAATAAGACAACTGTTAAAACAGTCAATACGTATATGTCTTTTAAGGTCTTTGTATAATCTGTCATTTGTTGTACCCCCTAGCATATGTTGTCCTTGTCTGTTTTTATACTTATTGTTCTGCAATAAAAATAATAATAAATAATACAATAATTAACAAATTAATTAACCCAGGACAGGGCCAACCAGGCAGGATATAACCCCATCCACTTTGCCAAAGCACAGGCCCCACACCACCAGAGGGATATCAACAGACCACCAATCTACTACCCTGAAACAAGGCTGAGTATAGCCCACGAAGATCTCCTCCACCGAGCCCGAGGGGGCGCAAAACCGGACAGGAAGATCACGTCTGTGACTCACCCCTCCTAGAGACAGCATGGAAGAGCACTAGTAAACCAGTGATTCAGCCCCCATAATAGGGTCAGAGGCAGAGAATCCCAGTGGAGCCGGCCAGGCAGAGACAGCAAGGGAGGTTCATCGCTCCAGTGCTTTGCCATTTACCTTCGCACCCCTGGGCCAGACTACACTCAATCATAGGACCTACTGAAGAGATGAGTCTTCAGTAAAGACTTAAAGGTCGAGACCGAGTCTGCGTCTCTCACATGGATAGGCTCTATAGGAGAAAGCCCTGCCTTCAGCTGTTTGCTTAGAAATTCTAGGGACAATAACAAGGCCTGCGTCTTGTGACCATAGCATTTACATTTTAGTCATTTAGCAGACGCTCTTATCCAGAGCGATTTACAGTTAATGAGTGCATACATTTTTCATACTGGCCCCCCGTGGGAATCAAACCCACAACCCTGGCATTGCAAGCGCCATGCTTTACCAACTGAGCTATGGTTACGCTACAGTTACGCTAGCATACGTGTTGGTATGTACGGCAGGACCAAATCAGCGAGATAGGTAGGAGCAAACCCATGTAATGCTTTGTAGGTTAGCAGTAAAACCTTGAAATCAGCCCTAGCCTTAACAGGAAGCCAGTGTAGAGAGGCTAGCACTGGAGGAATATGATCAGATTTTGGGGTTCTAGTCAGGATTCTAGCAGCCGTGTTTACCACTAGCTGAAGTTTATTTAGTGCTTTATCCGGGTAGCTGGAGAGTAGAGTATTGCAGTAGTCTAATCTAGAAGCGACAAAAGCATGGATTAGCTTTTCTGCATCATTTTTGGACAAAAAGTTTCAGATTTTTTGCAATGTTACAAAGATGGAAAAAAGCTGTCCTTGAAATATTCTTGATATGTTCGTCAAAAGAGAGATCAGGGTCCAGAGTAACGCTGAGGTCCTTCACAGTTTTATTTGAGACGACTGGACAGACATCAAGACTAATTGTCAGATCCAACAGCAGATCTCTTTGTTTCTTGGGACCTAGAACTAGCATGTCTGTTTTGTCCGAGTTTAAAAGTAAAACATGTGCCGCCATCCACTTCCTAATGTCTGAAACACAGGCTTCCAGGGTCGGCCATTTTGGGGCTTCACCATGTTTCCTCGAAATGTCCAGCTGTGTGTCGTCCGCATAGCTGTGAAAGTTGACATTGTGTTTTGGAATGACATCACCAAGAGGTAGAATATATAGTGAAAAAAATAGTGGTCCTAAAACGGAACCTTGAGGAACGCCGAAACGTACAATTAATTTGTCAGAGGACAAACCATCCACAGAGACGAACTGATATCTTTCTGACAGATAAGATCTAAACCAGGCAAGAACTTGTCCGTGTAGACCAATTAGGGTTTCCAATCTCTCCAAAAGAATGTGGTGATCGATGGTGTCAAAAGTAGCACTAAGGTCTAAGAGCTCTCGTTCTCTTAGAGATTACAAACCCCAGTTGGTTTACACGGACAACATGCAGAGCCTTGGTCTGACGCCAATAAAAGGTCATTTACCACCTTCACGAGTGCAGTCTCAGTGCTATGATGGGGTCTAAAACCAGACTGAATGCATTTTGTATACATTATTTTATCTTCAGGAATGCAGTGAGTTGCTGCGCAATAGCTTTTTCTAGAGGAATGGGAGATTCGATATAGGCCAATAGTTTTTTTTACATTTTCCGGGTCACGGTTTGGGTTTTTCAAGAGAGCCTGTATTACTGCCAGGTTTAGTGAGTTTGGTACACATCCAGTGGTTAGGGAGCTGTTTATTATGTTCAACATAGGAGGGCCAAGCACAGGAAGTAGCTCTTTCAGTAGTTTAGTTGGAATAGGGTCCAGTAGACAGATGGAAGGTTTAGAGGCCATTACTATTTTCAGGAATGTGTCGTAGTAAATATATAATGTTATAGCTTGGTCTGACTAAAATCTTGTGCATGACCCATTTTGTGTTGGGCCTTTGTATTCAATACAATGCACAAAAGAGTCCTATCTTGTCAGCCTTGTCAGCAGGTGGCTAAGGACGACACCCACGCCATAGGTCTCTCAGTTCTTCCAACTCACGAGTTCTTGCTCTGAGGACACACACACACACACCCCCACACACACACACACATACACACACACACACACACACACACATACACACACATACACACACATACACACACACACACACACACACACACACACACACACACACACACACACACACATACACACACATACACACACACACACACATACACACACACACACACACACACACAAATCCCCTTCTCTTAGGCTGAACATCTGAAGACAGAGAACCCGACTCAGAGCCAATGCAACAGTGATACTAACCTGGAGGGGACCTCGCCCAACTCATCAGGACCAATCAGAAGATCAGAACTACTAGATTCAACCTACTTCATTTTATTGTATAAAATGTCAGCACACAATGTTTCGGGGCTCTCTCTCAGATATCTCCCTACGAGATTGACGAACGGGTCCGTGCACGCTATTCCAGATATCTTTACCTCTGAATAAACTGCCTTATATTATACAATTATCCACCTTGTCCGAAAGTCTCTACTTGGTCTCCGTTCTCCAGTAAACTTGTGATCATCAACAAATGTGTCAAGAGATACAGGATTAAAAAACTTGTCTCCATTGATCCGAGGTCCTGGCAGTTCACTGCAGACTCAGGTTTTGGAGAAATACGCAGATTCAAAGCGGGGTCGGTAATTTGCTTTCTAAAGATCATGATCTTTTCATCGAAGAAGTTCATGAATTTATCGCTGCTGAAGTGAAAGCTATCCTCTCTTGTTGAATGCTGCTTTTTAGTTAGCTTTGTGACAGTATCAAAAATACATTTTGGATTGTTCTTATTCTCCTCAATTAGGTTGGAAAAATAGGCTGATCGAGCAGCAGTGAGGGCTCTTCGATATTGCTCTGTACTTTCTTTCCAAGCTAGTCAGACGACTTCCAGTTTGGTGAAGCGCAATTTCCTTTCCAATTTTCTGGAAGCCTGCTTCAGGGCTCGGGTATTTTCCGTACCAGGGAGCAAATTTATTGTGACAAATGTTTTTTTGTTTTTAGGGGTGCGACTGCCTCTAGGGTATTATGCAAGGTTAAATTAAGATCCTCAGTTGGGTGGTTAACCGATTTTTGTACTCCGACGTCCTTGAGTAGGTGGAGGGAGTCTGGAAGGGAATCTGGGAATCTTTGGGTTGTCCGAGAATTTATAGCGCAGCTTTTGATGATCCTTGGTTGGGGTCTGAGCAGATTATTTGTTGCGATTGCAAACGTAATAAGATGGTGGTCCGATAGTCCAGGATTATGAGGAAAAACATTTAGATCCACAATATTTATTCCACAGGACAAAATTAGATCCAGGGTACGACTGTGGCATTGAGTAGGTCCGGAGACATGTTGGACAAAACCCACTGAGTCGATGATGGCTCCGAAAGCCTTTTGGAGTGGGTCTGTGGACTTTTCCATGTGAATATTAAAGACACCAAAAATGTGAATATTATCTGCCATCACTACAAGGTCCAATAGGAATTCAGGGAACTCAGTGATGAACTCTGTATACGGCCCAGGAGGCCTGTTAACAGTAGCTATAGGAAGTGATTGAGTAGCTGTATATGGCCCAGGAGGCCTGTTAACAGTAGCTATAGGAAGTGATTGAGTAGCTGTATACGGCCCAGGAGGCCTGTTAACAGTAGCTATAGGAAGTGATTGAGTAGCTGTATATATGGCCCAGGAGGCCTGTTAACAGTAGCTATAGGAAGTGATTGAGGAGCTGTATATATGGCCCAGGAGGCCTGTTAACAGTAGCTATAGGAAGTGATTGAGTAGCTGTGTATATGGCCCAGGAGGCCTGTAAACAGTAGCTATAGGAAGTGATTGAGTAGCTGTATATATGGCCCAGGAGGCCTGTTAACAGTAGCTATAGGAAGTGATTGAGTAGCTGTATATATGGCCCAGGAGGCCTGTTAACAGTAGCTATAGGAAGTGATTGAGTAGCTGTATATATGGCCCAGGAGGCCTGTTAACAGTAGCTATAGGAAGTGATTGAGTAGCTGTATATATGGCCCAGGAGGCCTGTTAACAGTAGCTATAGGAAGTGATTGAGGAGCTGTATATATGGCCCAGGAGGCCTGTTAACAGTAGCTATAGGAAGTGATTGAGTAGCTGTATATATGGCCCAGGAGGCCTGTTAACAGTAGCTATAGGAAGTGATTGAGTAGCTGTATATATGGCCCAGGAGGCCTGTTAACAGTAGCTATAGGAAGTGATTGAGTAGCTGTATACGGCCCAGGAGGCCTGTTAACAGTAGCTATAGGAAGTGATTGAGTAGCTGTATACGACCCAGGAGGCCTGTTAACAGTAGCTATAGGAAGTGATTGAGTAGCTGTATATATGGCCCAGGAGGCCTGTTAACAGTAGCTATAGGAAGTGATTGAGTAGCTGTATATGGCCCAGGAGGCCTGTTAACAGTAGCTATAGGAAGTGATTGAGTAGCTGTATACGGACCAGGAGGCCTGTTAACAGTAGCTATAGGAAGTGATTGAGTAGCTGTATACGACCCAGGAGGCCTGTAAACAGTAGCTATAGGAAGTGATTGAGTAGCTGTATATATGGCCCAGGAGGCCTGTAAACAGTAGCTATAGGAAGTGATTGAGTG